AGCCAAATTTAAAATTGCAATGTTAGGAAAACACATACTTCTGTCCAGTCATTTCCAATGGCGCTTAATCAAAGTAAGGATATATTTAATAAGTACTGTATATGAGACTTCTCCATTTTTTGTTTGCAGGGAATAAAAAATGTATTACACATGCATAGAAGAAGGGTTTCTAGAGTGTGGCCAGTTGAAAATTTGAAATCATTTTCAAAAGAATAATTGATTTCCTAGCTTGCGGACTAATAACAGTTTTTTTAATGGTCAACTTTCTAAATGGGCTTCTGGAGTTTAATTTTTGTACTTAATTATATTTATCTCTGATTATGTCTCTTTAGGGGAACAGGTTAGTGCTACATACAGCATTTACCAGAATAAATCAAGCACTGCAGCAGAGCAGACAAACTAAATTGCTTCTACAAAAGTGTATCATTTTTTTCTCTTAATTTGTTAAAATATTAAGATCTACTGTAAATTTGCATAGCTACTATAGAAAAATGTATGGAGGTTCCTCATAAAATTAAAACATGTTTTCTAGCAATTCTGTTTTGGGTATACATCCTAAGGAAATAAAATCCCTCTACAGAAGAGATATCTGCACCTCCCTGGTTTATTTACCTCCCTGCAGCATTATTTACAATAACCGAGACATGGGGATGACTTAAGTGTCCATCAACGGATCAGTGAATAAAGTAAATGTCATTTACTTATGCACACGCACACACACACACAGAGTACAATTCATTCATAAAAAAGAAGGAAATTTGGCCGTTTCCAATACATAGATGGACATCGAGGGCATCATGTTAATTGAAATAAGGCATACAAAGAGAGACAGATAATGAATGATCTCACTTATATGTCGAATCTAAAAAAACAAAGAAACAAACTCACAGAAAAAGAAATCAGATTTGTAGTTTCCGGTGGCAGGTCAGAGTGGGGTCAAGGAATTTGGTGAAGGTGGTGAAAGGTATAAATTTCCAGTTATAAGATAAGCAAGTATTGGAATTTAATGAAGAGTATGGTAACTATAATCAGTATTATATTATATTATAATTATATTGTAATTATATTATAATACTGTATTGTGCATTGGCAGATTGCTAAGAGAATAGATCTTAAGAGATCTGATCTCAAGGAAGAAAAAAGTTTTAACTGTGAGGTGATGAAAGTTACCTAAATTTATTGTGGTAATCATTTCACAATATATACATTATCAAATCATTATATTGGACACTTTAATTTTATACAATAATAGATGGCAAATATATCTCACTCAATAATGGAAGTAAAAAAGATTTACAAACCTATTCTCTAGTCCTTTTCACTCTCATGAATACAACTGTTAAGACATAAGGCTAAGATTCTATTGTTCAAAAGTAGTGACCATCCTTTGATGCTTCTTTGAATCGGTATGAATCTTGCCTGTTTTCCCCTAAATGACACTTGCATTTATAGAGCAAGTCAACACAATATCTCTGGTAGTATTAAGGTGAAAATATTATTTTTTTAATAAAATCTCCAAATTTAGGGAAATATATTTCAAGACGAAATTACATTTCATTTGTGAAGAAAGTGATTTTGAAATATTTTTGTTCAAAGATTAATGCCAACTAATAAGGTTCATTCTTTCAACAATTCTAAAATGTGCTTTGTGTATTACTTACTGTAAAAAGTCTTTACATGGATGTGCATACTACATCAACCCTTAAAAATTAAAAATAAGAACACTGAAAAATTGGAAACTAGAACAAAAGTTGACTTCCTTAACTAAGAATATTATTGGAAAACACTCTTATAGTAAATAGAGTAAATTTTTACTTTTTAAAATTCTTTGTAACTTCTTGGTGATTTACAGAAGTCATAAAATTAATGTATTTCTTCATCATTTTTAATATCAATAAAACAGTCTAAGAAATCAGTAATACTTGGGAATCATTTGCATACTTCTGTAAAAGTTAGAGGGTTCTAACACCCACAACAAGAATGCCAGCTCGGTACAAAGTGAACACAGTGGCCTTGTCTTTTCAAGGAGAATTCCACTTTTTAAGACGTAGACTCCACTCTAAATTCTGGCGTAGGTGGTTTTCTCTCCCTCCTTGAAGAGATGACTCACTTAAACAAGTCATCTAAATGCAGGCTGTTCTGCAGGGAGTAAACTCATCAGATAACCTCACGTTCTATCAGGATCTCGGTCTGTGTGTGCATCCCACCTCACCTGCTGAAAGGCAGGGTAGACCGTAAGCCATGTATTTCAGAAAAGAACGCTTAACTTTGTGTGCTGGTTGTTGGTGCTAGGAAGGGAAGAAAGAACCCCCAGGTCAGGCAGAGCTCTCCGCTCAGGTGGAATAGATGCCCCCTCTTCTGAGTCCTCACACCAGGCAGGGCACTTGCAAATGAGCCAGCTGGCAAAGAGGAGGAACCGCCCCTCTCATTCATCTTTACAAGTTTTGTTTCACACTTTTATATTTAGTACCACAAATTGGGCCAAGAAATGTTGCCTTGAGAAGGACGTGATTGGGGAATCAGAGTGGGCCAGGGCAAATACTGTTTTACTCTTATAAAGACATGTTTATAATGCACCACAAGTGTTCCTTCCCTTTGTCATCTCTGGTGCCAGACTTTAGGAAGATGAGTTTGAGCAGAAATAAACGTTTTCTGAATTAAATATAGAGAAGTTTACTACACCCATTTTCGCATGCTTATTTTCAAGAATTAGCTCTTGCTTAGAAACAGAGATGGCAATATTTTTTTAAGTCTCACTGACATATTTTCAACCAAAGATTGTTATTCCTACCAACAGAAATCAACTTTTATAGTAGGTTCTGCTTCAAATTTAGTTTTTCTTATTTGAATATATTTATATGTGATATTGATATATATGTGTAAATATTGTTTGTCAAATAATTTGTCAATTACTGAATTATAGGGCAAACCAGTTTTCTGTAGAGAAGTTTGTTTACAGGGAAAGAAGCATATTTGAACTAAAAGTTTCTTAAAGCTGGAGGAATGTATCTGCAGTGAAATGGGAAGTCCCATTTATAGAGGCCCTTATTGTTCATTTTTCGAAAACCTGATTTTCAAATCTGATAAAAATAAAATATAGGATTACAGAAGATTTATTTGTGACAATGTGTTTATTTTGTTTCCAGTGTATTTTATCCCCAATCAGAGTATGTTTCTAATCGGGGGCCCATCTTCAGTAGCCATTGCACTCCCACAGTCATTACTCCTGCCCCTCACATCCCAGAGCCTGAGGTGTTGTCTGGGCTGCTCCACTCCCCAGACATGTGTCCGATGACACCACATCACCTACAGCAGGGAGTCCACACTTCTCAGATGATATTTGAAGACTTTCTACAATTAAATCCCAACTCTTCTTCCCAAGGTGCGTCTTTCTGCTGCGTTTCTTCAAATAACCTACTCTCGGTCAAGCCGGACCATCTGCCCTGTGCTGTATTCCTAGTTCCCTGGTACCTGGAACACCTGTGGCTCCTGGGCATCTGCGAGGCTGGTGCATAGCGCCCATTCCGTGACGCTTTACTCATAGCCTGTTACCCAGCCTTGAGTATCTGAGTATCTATATACACGTGTCTAGGAGAAGACATATCTTCCACATTAGTTTAATGCATGGTGTGGCTAGGCTAAGTAAACGCCAAGTTCAGTAATGAAACTATAAACTTTAAATTGTGTAATTAACATTAGGATTTGTTTTAGTTTATGCAAAAAAAAAAAATGTTCTCGTTGCAGATTTCAATTAAATTCAATTGCTAAACCTCTGAGCTCGAGACTCAGTGTGTCCCAACCATGGCTGCACACTGCAGTCACTTGCTTTACTGATGCCTGGGTCCCAACCCGCAGAGGTTCTCACATCACTGATCTGGGATGTGACCTGGGCACACGGAT